AAACAAAAAATCTTTTATACTTTAAAGTATTTCAAGTATATCTTGTTGTTTTTTTGATTGAAGAATCCTATTGAATATTAATATACTTGCGCATGATATTGAACCTCGATCCAGAAAAGAAAAAAAACAAACTTCTACTTGTCGACTGTTATAATTGAAACCTTTCAATTCTAATAAGTATAATTATACATTTGTTATGAACTCGATAATTAATAGAAACAGAAGAAATGATGAGTTATTTTTTTTTTATGTTCATTCTTTTCTTTTTCTTTATTATATAAAACTAAAGCCTACACTTTTTCTTTTTTATCTTCGTGCATCATTTTATGATGCGTATTGACATCAATTAATGATGTTGCATGCATTCCATTAGCACGCAATTGATAGTCGACTATATTTCGTTGAAAATCATGAAAAACCTATGATATTCATAGAGATTAAATAGTAACTTATTTACACTTGGAGGGCAGTTGTAAAATAAGAAGAATACTTGAGTTCCGCAGGCGATTTACATCGTAGTTTTAACGGATTGAGTATACGTCTATAATTGCCATTTAACAGTCAAAATAATTAAATAGAGAAAAAAAAAGAAACGACCGGAACAGTAATAAATATCTTGCCGTTTTTCATTCCTGTTTTTTTTCTATTAAGTATTGATGACAATGAAATTCTCTCATTCCATTTGCGCTCTATTGTAATGTATGCTTGATCAGTAAATGAGCATTCATACAAGAACAAAAAATTCCATATGAAGTACGTTTTTAGTAACTGCGTCGTTTTTAAATAAATATCTATATTTAAATTTTTAATACTACTTTGTTCCTTAGTTTTATGTTATTGTAGAAAAATAGAAAGGAAAATATTTGTAAACTATTCTACTTTTTCTATAGTTTGTTACATTAAAAACTAGATAGTATTTTCTAGTTGATGTCATCTACTAATACTCTATATATTTTCTTTTTCCTTTTAATATAAATGCATGTTAATAATAGAAAGACGTGTCATTTGAAAATATAAATTCTATTATATTATATAGATAATCAATGACGACAAATACAACCTACGATTCAAGTCGTGATCTTCGACATACTCGATTAATTCTTTTGTCTACACTTTTTTTCGTTGGTTTAGCTGGTTGTTCATTAGTTTTAATATGGTTAATACGTTATACACGATTTAATAAACGATCAGCTCGTATATGTACACTTATTCTTAATTTAATTATTGCCAATGTATCTGTTTATATATTTGCTACTGGTATACAAATATATTGGGAACTTCAAACAAATCGACAATGGCCATTTAATGATTTAGTTTGTATGTTATTAAATATCTAAAAAAAAAGCAAAATTATAATTTTATTTAGGTCGAATTGTAAAATTTTTTCAAAGTTTTTCAATACTTTCATCAACATATATTGTTGTTGCAATGGCAATTGATCGTTGTATTGCTATAGTAACTCCATTAAAAGCTGGACAAATTCGTGTAAGTCTCATAGACAAAAACTAATCAAATTATTAGAATTCAATTATATATATATATTTTTAGGTACTCTATTTATGTGGTGGTGCCTGGGTACTTGCCGGTCTCTTGTCAACACCAAATGCATTTCTATTTCATTTACATGTCAATGGTTCTGTTCGTTATTGTACCGCTGTATTTAATCATCAATCAACTCCTACACTACGTCGTATTTATTTAACATTTATTTCACTGGTGGTCTACTTTATGCCATTTCTTGTTCTGGTCTTTTGTTATGCATTAATTTTTGTTAAATTATTATGTCGAGAACATGATCAACAAGAATGGTCAACGAATAAACAATCATCATCAAATTGTTGTTCATCGTCATGGAAAAAGAAAATGATAACATTTACAAACATAATGAATTATAAAACCGTTAGAAATTCATCATCAAGTCGTTCATCGTTTAGTGATTATACTATACGATTAAAACGAATAAATACATATGCAAAAGCTCGATCAAAAACATTTCGTATGGTAAGAAGAATATATATATATATATATTTTCTTAAATTATACATTTTATCTATTTAGATTATTGTACTTGTTCTATTTATGATTTTATTTGGTGCACCATATTATTGTCTTGAATTATATATTGCTTATACTGGTCGAAAACCTTCGGATTTGATACTAGCTTTAGCTGGTGGAGCAGCTGTAGCACCATCGTCAATAGATCCATGGATATTTCTTTTATTTTGGGTTAATTGGAATGAACCAGTCAATACGAATAGTAGTCGACGATTAATTACATTAAGTTTACAACATCAACAGCAACATATTCAATCGAGACGAATAAATCGATCAACTACATTAGGTGCATCATCAATAAGTGATCAACAAAATCATGGTAGTCCTCGTCATGCATCACGTTCAGCACCTTGCATTAGAAAATGGGATGTATCATCACAAAAGTTAGAAAACTTATGATTGTTTATAGACATTTGAATTACTGTATATTTTATTCAATTAAATATATACATCTAAATATAACTTTCGAAAAAGTAATGTCTTTTTTGATACAAGGAAATTAAGTGTATGTGATGTGAAGTAACTGGAAAAATCAGTAAATAAATACGGAGATGATTTTTCTACGTAGTCTTAAACAACAATAGATTCTATATAATTAAGTATAGAAAAAAGGTGACGTATTTTATATTAATAATTCTTTTAATACCATCACGCAATGATAAATAACTTAATGGTAGATTAGACAAAAACAAAAAAAGTGTTTATTTTAGTTTATATATTCATAGTCGCTATTTTGGAAAATCTTACAACTGTTGATAATTTATTTCAATAAATTACTGTAGTCTATTTTTTATTATATAAAATGTTGTTTTTCAATTTTTTACAAGTCGTATTTATTCTACGTGATGCACCCATTCAACTAATGAACATAAAAAAGGACTGTAATAGAGAGTATATAATTTGATCTAATTGTGGAATGGTTGTTTTTCATACTTGAGATTAATTTATAAAATAATAAACAAGCAAAATTTTGTTAAAATCACTTATTAAAAGTAGTTTATAGTGAAAGGAATAGAGGGATCATACTAACGATGATCAAAATGTTCAGTGTATAATATCTCGAAAATTCCTTGAATCTTTAGCATTCAAATGTTGTATAATCTAATGACAATGTTTGCATTACTCGATATGATTATCATACTTATAAATAGATGTGTTCACATTTTATTACGAATCATGCAAATGATTTATACATTCTTTTATATTTAGTGTTAACTAAAAAAGGAACCACCTGCGGTATCAAAAAGCTTTAGAGCTTAAATTTTGTCCATAAGTAGGGAGTCTATAAACCAGAAAAGCCTAAGAGAATGTGGGTGTAAGTTATGAATTCCCGCGATATGGGTCTATTAGCATAAAATCAGCTTCTGACGTAAGTTGATAGCTCAACTTGCACACATATTCTCTGAAGCTTTTTGATACGTCGGATGGTTCCTTCGTAAATTTATGACTATAGATTATTTATGAACATCTATTCTAAACGTTTTTTTTAGTAATAGAAAACAAAAACAGTTGAACGAAAAATTGAAATAAAATTTCATTTAATTAATTGTCCTTTAACAGCATCTTTAATAAAGAAAAGTGGAGTTGGCATATCACTATGTTGATATTCAACTTTTGAATAAACATTTTTCATTGCATCAAAATAATTTGTTATTGGTTTAAATCGACAACCATCACCAATAATAGCCCATACGGGTTCAATCATTCTTTGAAATCCATAAATAAATGGATCAGCTTCATAATTAGCAGATGTATGTTCGAAGAAAATAAATTTTCCACCTGGTTTTAATATACGATGAACTTCAAGAAGAACCTTTTCTGGTAATGGATCTGGTATACTACATAATACTAATGTCATAATGACTGTATCAATACTATTTGATTTAACTTCATGCATATTTGTAGCTGAATCATTTAAAAGATGAATTTCATATGGAATTTTATCCCATTGTTTAATAAAATCATAAAAATATGAATACATTTGAACATTAGGTTCAATACCAATATATGATTGGATATTTGTATTATTATGTAAACATGGAAAATTTATTCCTGTGCCAGAACCAATTTCTAATACTTGACCTTTAACATTGGAATGTTTTAATAATTGATTACATCGAATATCCATCATAGCAGTGTTATTTGGATCCGAAAGTTTATTGAGAAATCGAGCAAATACTATGAAATGATGAGAAAAAGGTTTATGAAAAGATTAATATATTATTTTAACTAACGTTTTTGTCGATAAAGATCATTCATTTTTAAATATCCAATACCAATTGCAATTAATGCTACTATAATGGATAAACTTCCAAAAAGAATTTTAACACAATGACCCATATCTACAAAAAATACATTTAGTAAAAATGTAAAAAGTAAGTTTTATTCATTGCGAAATATTAAATCATAGTAACACGATTATAATATATATACATAAAAGTATGAATAGTTCATTATTTCTTCGTATTATGAGCATGTGTTCAAATATAAATATATACTTCATATTTTCGAAATCATATCTACCAATCATATAAATAATAAGTCATTCTCTTATTGTATTAGTAAATTTTATAAAGGTCATACGTTTGCTTACGTGAAAGCAAATAAACATTATGACTCATGATTTTACATGCAGAAAGAATATGATGTGATAAGACACATGGCAACATTTTGCATAGGAGGGTACGATATTTTTTGAATGGCCGATCGGGAAGAGTAAATCTAATGTAAACGCCATATCCGAATTTTATTTCTCTTCGTATTTGAATTATATTATATTTTCTACATTTAGGTGTCAGAATCATTATCTAAAGCTACACAGACAGTTGATACTCAACGAGAAAAATATGAAATAAAATTTATTTTAAAAATTTCCTTTTCATTCTATTTTATTTTTCTAGACATCATTAAAACATGATCTGGAATTTCAAATTAAAAAAAATGACATGCAGTTATCTGCATTAAAAGAAAACTTAGCAACTGTACGAACTGAATTAAGAGCTGCGAATGTAAAATTAGCAGAACTTGAACATAAGATAAATTCTTGTTCATGTGTTATAGTTTCTATTTTAGATACGGATGCACGTTTAGTTGTAAGTCAAGAAGAACGACGTGTTTTATTAGAAAGATCATTAGCAAATGAAAGTAAAAATGAAAAACTTATAGCTGAAAATGCTCAATTAATAAAGAAAAATTCCAATTCAGAAGCAGCTTTACAAGAAATGGCTCGAGAATTTCAAAGTCAACAAGTAAAATTTCGAGATTATTTGTTTTTTATTCAAAATTTTTTTTTTCTTCTTTTACATAGATTCAATTAAACAAAGTAAGTCAATGTCGATGGATAGATGATGATGGTGATATTCATTCAATGTATGAAATGTCATCAAAAACAGCTGTTGTTGCAGCATCATCAAAAAAACCACAACGTGCTTGCAATCAATGTTATAAAGATTTAACTTCTTAAAAACTTTTAATATTTCATCGATTTTATTTGTTTGCTTTTTATATTTGAAAAGTGTTTTGTAATAAAATAAATACTACGATAAGAAGATATATTGATACAAATATCGAACAGTTTTTACTGATTGCTCATTTTTGAATGAATATCGAAAAAATCATTTTCATTTAGTTAGTAAAATTGTTCAATAGGAAGATATGGAAAGAATTTCTAGTCATTGTGATCTAGATATTTGTCACAGGTATATTTTGAGAATGTACCTATCTTGAAAAGCTTTCTGGTTACATTCTAACAATTGCATACTCTAACAGAGAGTTACTGAATATATCGGTGAAGATGCGCGGGTGAATGCGGGTGCATCCTACCCATCTCTAAGCCTACACCCACACCCTACACAGCCCTTTCTTTCACTTTCACTTTCTCTCCCTGCGTCAACGAATGTTTTTTTATTTTCTTTACACGCGGATGACCATCATTCATTCGATCATTCCCAAAACCTTCTTCTTCGGAGTAAGCATCTTTCTCTCTTTTTTGGCCCTTCAAAACTTGCCTTTTTTTTATTCTTTCATTTACAACGAAGACCATATTATCGTTCAATGTGATGACTCGCGAATAATATTTTGCTGTGAGTAGGCGTCGGATTCTCTTTTATTTGGCTCCTCAAAACCTGTCTGTGTTTATAATTTCATGTCCAAAGCAACCCTCCTTCATTTATCCGATCATTCCCGAATCTTCTTCTTACGCGTAGGCATCTTTCTCTCCTTTTTTTGTTCCTTCAAAACATTCCTTATTTTTATTATTTCATTTACAAGACAGACAATATTACCGTTCAATTTCGATGGCGCGCGAGTAATATTTTGCTGTGAGTAGGCGTCAGTTTCTCTTTTCTTTGGCCCCTCAAAAGCTGCCTTTTTTTTATTATTTTATTTACAAAGCAACCCTCTATCATTTATCCGATCATTCTCAAAACCTTCTTCTGATGAGTAGACATCTTTCTCTCTTTTTTTGTCCGTCTGCAAGTTGCCAGTTTTGTTTTAATTTATCTACATGCACGATACGACTGCTTAAACGATAATTCTTGAAATATGGAGTAACATTTTGTTTCGTTCATGAATAACATTGTTTTCTTGCCATTCCTCTTTCCTTGTTTTAGTATTACTCAATTCTCCATATACGCAGACAAGCATAAGCTTCAATAATATTCGAGAAACTTCTTTGATTTTTCAAGAATTTATTTTCCTTTCTTTTGTCTCTTTTGCTTGTGCAATACTATCGTCCATCTTATATATAAACAGAGAAGCATCAGGTGCGTCGTCATTTAGAGTAGGTTATCTGGGATAACATTTTGTTTCGTTCAAGAATAACTTCATTTTTATTTATTTCTTTTTTTTCTGTTCCTCTTTCTTTATCTTAGCATTTCTCAATTCTCCATATACACAAACAAGCATAAACTTTAATACTATTCTAGAAACTTCTTTGGTTTTTATAAGAATCTATTTTCCTTTCTTTTTCGTTTTTTCTTGTCTAGTGCTTTCGCCCATTCTAGATATATATAATACAAGTAGTGTTAGTATCACTTACAGTACGTATTATTCGATCATAATCGCTTTTTAGAGATTTGGTGTAACTTTTCTGTGTTTAGAGTAATATTTCATCATAGTTTACTTTTAATTCAATAACAAGGGTTGTTTTTTTTATTTTCAGAATATTATTTCTTTACTATCATGGAGAGTGATAATATTAAACAAATGAAATATGATGTTCAAGAGAAAACCACATGTCTCTGGAAAATAATAAATCAATGGATAAGAGATATGAATGTACTTCAAAGAGATGAAAATATGAAGGTTTTAATTGAATTGGTTGAGTGGATTACGTTTATAAGACGCTGGTCAAAAAGACGTATTAATGAAGAATTGGTTAATCAAGTTCCAGAAGAAATAGCAAAATGTGCCGAACTTGAACACAAGTCTGAGAAAGAATTAGATGAAATGCTGAAAATTGCGGTTGAATTCGTTGCTGTTTATATAACAAATGGCTAACGGATGTTTATTGGCATTATTTTTCCAAATTTCTTTATTTTTTTTTCAATGCTTTGCGTTGTTTTTTTTTTATATTTCCATCATGTTATTGAAATTCTGATATCTCAGAAAAAGAAGAGAATAGACATTATTATAAACTATATTTGTAAACTTCTAACTCAGAGACTATCATATGTTAAGAAGTAGCATTAAAGAGCGACTCAGTATACATGAATGTTCTGCAATTCATCACGATTCATTCAAATGAAATGTGATTCAACAAGATCAAAAACTTATGAGTTCCTATTTTATTCGATTTATTTATTGAGTGTGATAAGTAAAAGCTATTCAATATGCAAATCAGTTATTACTCACTGTTTGATAAGAAAATATTCAACAAAACTCTTGTACTCTTACTATAACTATATATTTAAGTTATATTAACTCGAAGAAAGTGAACTATCATATATATCTGTATTGACTTTTATTCTGTTCATTCCACTGTTGCTATGATTACAAGTGCTTCGACCTATATAAATGATATGAATACTGCTCATTGTCAAACATGTCAATCGAAAACGTATGAATGGACTAAAGAAATGGATCTATTTGTAATTCATGCAAAACAGATTCCTACTTGTTCATTCATTCAGTCAAAGAATACAAATAAGTTATCGTTTTCTCATATATCACATACAGATAATCACGAAAAATCGTCAAAGCGTCGAAAGATTGATTCAGATAAAGAAAATTTCTTAGCTAAAATCGAAACTTTGAAAAAAATTCATCGTCATACATTTTCCGATTGGCATCATGCACAAGAAATCACAGCAGCACAAACGATTTCAGCCAGCTTTTTTTTATTGTAATGTTGGCGATCAAGTTATTTGTTTATATTGTAATCTAATTTGTCAACAATGGACATCGAACATTAATGATCTTGAAGAAGTGCATTTTACTTCTGTACCTCAATGTCCTTATATTCGATCTATGTTAAAACTTCATCAAACAAACACAATATCAATTGGAAAGGAAAATTATGCAAATACTTCTAACGGTCAATTACAAACATCAAATAATTTGAGATACAATGGAACTGTTCATACATCAGCATATCATAGGAACTACATAGAAATATCAAAACGTCAAGAATCAGTACCATCAGTTGATGATTTTACACGAGCTGGATTTTTCTATACGGGTACTAAAAAGATTATAACCTGTTTCTATTCTAATAAATCATTATGAAACTGAGATTCAAAAGATAATCCAACAGTAGAACATTCTCGATGGTTTCCAAAGTGTGCCTATGTAAAACAACTGTATGGTAATGAACTTTATGAAGAAATTCAAGAATCAAAACGAAGATTTCAAAGTTAGTTTTCATTTATATGTAAATAAATAATGAATTGTCTCTCTTCTAGAATGTAATGAAAGAAATCAACCGAAAAGAAAATACAACGATGGCTCAATAAAGTACTCTCAAGTATTAGTATCAGATAACAATACTTTATCACGATTAGTTGCTGCTCGTCTTGATTTACTAATATCTCAACGTTTGCTCAGTCAAAATTGTAAGTTATCAGTCGTTACACGTTGTTGAGAAGATCAACTACGGCTGAAACGTAAGAATTATTGATGCGATTGAATCTAAGAAATTCATATTTTTTTAAATTTATTTAGAAGATGATTTTACTTCAGATAGTGATCTTTTAATTGCCTGTATTATTCTACAACAACAAATTATTCATATTAATGGAAACAAAGAAACTATTATCACTCCAAATATCCTATTGATTAAAATTTATTTATTTTTATTTTAAAAACTCTAACTGACGAACAATCTAATTTATCCACATCTATGTCTTCTGCCGAAGGATTATTCACACAAAATCAGTTTAATACCAAAGATATTACGATATCGAAAACATTAATAACGTCAAGTAACGAGACCAAGAAAATAGTTCATCATCATTCAGTTTATGTGTTCTCTGTTGAACAGAAGAGAAACAACTTGCATGTATTCCTTGTGGATACTTAGTTACTTGTGTTTCACGTGGTCATTCACTTCGAATATGTCAAACCTGTCGAAGAGAAATCAATGATTTTGTTCGTATTTATATCTAATTTATAAATGACTAATTATATATATTGTAATAAACTAGAATTCTATGTAGAATTTAAAAAACAATTTATAAATGAATGATTTAACCAAGATATGTTTCATGAAAAGAATGCGAACGTATATTTGACTAAGGGTGTGCGTTTTAGCGAGGAAGATACACTTACATCCACATCCACCCTCAAGAATGAAATTTCTTCTTATCTATCAATCTGGACAGTATATGCAAAAAAAATAATCGAAAAAGTAGTTAATCATGATTTTAATCTATTAACAAATTTGTATATTCAAATTTTATGAAAATTTGATTCAGTACGAATAGAAGATGTTTAGTTGTTTTATAAATCTATCCCATTAAATTGATTCCTTGATCAATTCCTTGTCTATTTGAAAAATCAATCGATTGTATTTAATTGGTATCACATCATTTACAATATGAAATCAAGTTCAAATACATTGTAATAAATATGTGTTTCATTCCCATGCAACGTTTTAACATACGTTATGTTCGACATTCAAGAAGTGATTATTTCGTAACGTTATGAATTATTCTTTTTTTTTAATAAATAGTTTCATCGATGTATAGTGATACATCAGTTTTTTTTCTACTATTTTATGATAACAATAAATCAGACAGTCGAAGGACAAGTTAATGAAGATGAATGATTATTATTCGGTAAAAATTATAATCTAGAAATATACATCGCTTTGATCTTTATTAATAAAGACTTTTTACATACTAATTCACTCTCTGTTTTAGATTTTATCGTCTCAAAATACTTACAATATAAAAAAAATATTTTAATAACTATGGTTTTTCTCTCGTTAAAAAAATATATACTTGTGTGTGAGATATACTCTTATTGTTACACCATATTGCATATATTTTTATGTAAATAAACCTTTTCCTAGGGCGCAATATATGCTATTTATACTTCTATGATTATATTACGCCTTTTGATTACAATTTTCTTTGACAATAATATGTTGTTTCTCGACAGGTGCTGTGCATTAGAGTATAACAAAAGGAACTACGTATTTCAATTATTTCAGCGCTACAGTCAATGTTAGTAAATTTAAAATGAATTCTCACTTTATTTAAGATAAATTTTCGAACTAAAACGAAGAAAAATACAATAGAATTTTATTAACTATCTTGATTGGTGGATAAATAACTAGTATTATATCAATCATCTGTGTTCATAATCTTGATTGGTTAGACATTCTACCTTATTTTTACACATTTATTATTCTTTCATTTTGTCATTGTCTTTAAGTCGACAATGTGGGTGAAACCATCAGAAATATTGGTAAATTACTTTTCTATATTATAAAATACGAATAAGAATATTAAATTTTATTTTTATTAGGTCACTGGATTTTGGTAAAATCATATTTTTGTTTTTTTTTCGAAAAGTATAACTCGATTTTCATCTATTACAGGTCTACTGATCGAGCAAATCCTTATTTTGCACTACAACGTCGTCGAGGTCATGATGAAGAGCATGGAGGTTTTACTAGTCTTTTTGTTGCTACAATTGATTCTGTATTAGATAGCAAAGTAAAATAAATTCTATTAATCAAATCTTTTTTTTCTTAATAACGAAAAGATATTTTCATAGACAAATCGTTATCGAATTCTTCATCAAAGACCTGATTCGGAAGTTTATCATTGTAAAATAATTTTAAATATTTATTTTCTCTATTTTTCCTGTTTTGTTTGAAGTGATTGCTGAAGCAGACACAAAAGAAGAAATTGAAGAGCATTGGAGTTGGATCGAAGAAAATTTATTACCAACACTTGGTAGAATTTTTTTCGATTGAATGAAATAGATTTTAAATTATTATTACTCTAGGAGGAATTGAGGCAGGAGTTGATGTAACTGATTATGTTCAATGTAAAATAAAAAGTTTATGTGCACAAGTTGATGAAGCTGAAATCGATGGTAAGAAAAAGAAAAAAACAACGTACAAATATTTATTTAATATTCTTCTTCGTATAGATTTTGAATCGGATAAATTTAAAAATGCAACAAAAAAATTCCATAAATTATTTAATGTTCCAATTGATGAAAAACTTGTTACATGTAAATTTTATTATAAGAATCTATTCATATATTGTTTTTTTTTTTATCGATAGATTATTCTTGTTCATATTGGCGTGGACGTGTACCACGTCAAGGTTGGCTATATTTATCAGTGAATTATTTATGTTTTTATTCATATTTACTTGGCAAAGATATAACTATTGTATTGAAGTTTACTGATATAACTGTCAGTGAAACTTATTGATTAATATTAAGATAAAAAAAATAATTTTTTTGTGTAGTCACTTGAACGTTTACAAGCATATGTTTCTGAAACAATACGTATTGGTACTCGATTTCATGTTCATGATTTTTCAATGTTTAGAAATATTGATGAAACATATCAAATGATGGAACAATTAGCTAATTTTGCTGCAAAAAAGTAATCGAAATTATGAAATATTTGCCGTATAATTTTATTTTGTGCTTAATAGATTATTATCGGAAAAAGGTGCTTTTCGTGAAGAAGATTTCTTTCCAGCTGTTACTAAGTATGTATATTATATAAATATGATTTTGTGAAATTCACGTAAATTTTAAGTTCAAGTTTTACAGCTCCCCTCCCTCAGATTCAATAACAAAAAGCAAAAATCATTAAAAATAGCTATAAATTAATTGAATTTGAGCAAAAAAAGAAAACAAAGTACTTAAACGTGATCAGATATTTTGATGCGAACATACGTGAGTTCCACATTTTTTGAGCCCCAATGGGGCTGCGCTGATAATCTTTCTTTGAGGATTCGGAAATGAATATATAAGTGGTTGATTAACATAAAAGGAAAAGAAATGAATTATTAAAAGTTTTAGAATGCAACGAAGTCTTATTTTAAGTAATAATATCTAAAAATGAATAATTGTTTGTTTGTTTTTAGAAAAACTGCACCTAAAGTAATTTCTCAATTAAAACGTGATCTTGATGCCAAAACTCGTAGTGAACTATATCAATGTCGATTTCGTTTACCAGCAACTGAACGTTTAGATGGTGAAGTTGCATGCCATTTGCATACGTCTTATAATCGTTCCAATGTTTCTGGTAAACTTTATATATCGCTCAATTTTGTGTGTTTTGCTAGTCGAGTAAGAATTAATTTATATGCAGATATTCTTTAAATAAAAAATCTAAATAGGTTTATCATCAAGTTAATTTAATCATTCCATTTCGTGATATAGTCGCTATTAAAAAACAGTCCGATGATGTAATTTTACCAGATATTGATACTCAATCTACAATAATAATAACAATAAAAGAACAAGTAAAATTCTATATTATAATCTAAATATATATATATTTTTTAATTTATAATATTAGGCCGGAAAATTTCTATTCTTGAATTTTGTTGATCGAGAATTTGTTTATGAAAAATTATTAAATATATTATCACAATATGAAGAAGCAAAACCTGCAGATGTTGATATATCAGAAATAAGTAAATTATTTATTTGTTTATTTTCTTTTCAAATAATTATTCATTTTTATAGCGTTATCACCGCCACTCTATTTACAATTTAATAGTAATTATACGGAAGAACGACTTACACTTGAAAAAGAAAGAGAAACATTATGGAATATGCATTTTACTACATATGGAAGAGGTTCAACAATGTATAGAACTAATGAATTATATGAATTAATATTTCAAGGTATACCTGATTCATTACGTAATGAATTATGGTTAATATTTAGTGGTGCAATACATGATGTTAGTTGATTTATTAATAAAAATTTAGTAAACGAATTTGTTTCTTTTTTTTAGAAAGCAGCAAACCCAAATATTTATCATAAATTAGTTCAACAATCATCACTTGTTAAAACTTATCATGATTCAACAAATGACGAAATTGAACGTGATCTTTATCGAGCATTACCTGATCAAAAAGCTTTTCAAAATGAATCAGGTATTAGTGCATTACGAAGATTATTAAGAGCATATGCTTGTCATAATACTGATGTTGGTAAGGAATAATTTTATTTTCTATATAAGTTTTTTATTCTAAAAATATTTTTGTTTTTATATAGGATATTGTCAAGCAATGAATATTATCGGTGGAGTACTTTTACTCTATATGAATGAAGAAGATGCATTTTGGACATTAGCAGCATTATGTGAACGTCTTTTACCAGATTATTATAATACAAAAGTTGTTGGTGCATTGATTGATCAAGGTAAATTTTAATTATAAATCATTTTTTTTCCCAACGAAAAATTAAGTAGATACGAATGAATATTGATAAGTTCTGATAGAGTAATGGCAAGGACTCACAAAAAGTTTTAATCAATATAGAATATCTCAATTCATTGATTCGAATATCATCTTGCTTAACCTTTTTTATATTTATGCGTATAAAAATATTACTTTTAAAATGAAAAGGGTCTACTTGTTTATTTTAGACACATAAACATGATCATAAGATGAAGTCATTTGTTTTATAAGGATAGAAAATATACTTATCTGCTAAAGATTAATGCTACTTCTGAATACATGATAGTGTCTGAGTTACAAGTTTACAAATATAATTTATAATAATATTTATTTTCTTCTTTTTCTGACATATTCGAACTTCAATAACATGATGGAAATATTTAAAAAATAACAACGCTAAGCATTGAAAATAACATAAAGAAGTTCGAAAAATAATGCCAGCAAACATTTATTAGCTATTTGCTATATAAGCAGCATAGGATTGAACCACATCTTGCCGCATTCCATGTAGTTCTTCCAAACGTTGTTTAATCCATTTTTCGTTAAAACGTGTTCTTAACCAGTTCATAATGAACGTAATCCGTCCAACCAAACCAATAAATACGTTCCTATTTTCATCTCGTTGATGTGCATCCATATTTCTTCTCCACTGGTTTATTCTTTGCCACAGACGTATGGTTTCCTGTTCAACGTCATCTAACGTTCGTAAAATATTATTTGTAGCCATGATGATAATCCAAACAATATACTAAAAATAAAAAAATATTTCCCTTGTTATTGAGTCAAAAGTAAACTACAATAGAATATTATTGTAAACAAAGAAAGAGTAACGGAAAAGAACAATGTTATTCGTGAACGAAACAATGTTATCTCATATAACATACTGAATGACAATGCACCTGATGCTTCTCTAGTAATATATAATCTGTACGATACCTCTAGGCAAGAGAAATAAAGCAGAAATAATAAAAAAATAAAAGCATATTCTACATGGCAAGACCGCTCATATCTACGTCTCCATGAAATAGCCTCGACAATGCCACTAGAAAAGTGAGAGAGTGAGAGAGTAAGAGAGAAAAAAAACGAAGGACAGTAAAAAAGAACAAGCATATTATATATGACAAAACCGCTCATATCTTCGTCTCCATAACTCAGTACGAATGTAGGCTATTATAAAATAGCGAGAGAGAGAGAAGAAAACGAAGGACGCTAAAACGAAACATGTTCTGCGCTCATATTTGCGTCTTGATGTGTACGCTGGACGACCTGACTAGACGAGAGGCAGACAAGGAAGAACAAAACAAAAAACAAAAAAATGTTCTGTGCGGTCTTATGTTCATATTCGCGTCTTTCTGTATAAGGTAGACTCTCTAACCGGACCATACAGAGATAAAAGGAAAATAATTAAAAAAAAACACGGTCTGCACTTTGCATTCTCAAAGTAAATCTGCGACAAATATTTAAATCGCAATAATTAGAAACTCTTTTCATATCTTTTCATTGAAGAACTATATTAAACTAATTAAATGAATTTATCCTATATTTATTCAGAAACTACCAATCAGATAAAAACTCTTCGATATTTGTATCAATATACCTTCTTATCGTAATATTTATTTTATTACAGAAGACCTGTCTGATATTTATACATATAGAAATATTACTTTCAAAACCAAAAGAGTCTACTTGTTTATTTCAGACACACAAATATGACCATAAGTTGAACTAATATATTTTATAAGAATAAAAAACATACTTATCTGCTAAAGATTAATGCCACTTCTGAACTTATGGTAGCCTCTGAGTTAAAAATTTAGAACTATAATTTATAATAATATTTATTTTCTTCTTTTTCTGAGATATTCGAACTTCAATAATATGATGGAAATATAAAAAATAACAACGCTAAGCATTGAAAAAAACATAAAGAAGTTTTAAAATAATGGCAGTAAACATCTATCAGCCATTTGTTAGATAAACAGCAAGTGATTCAGCCATAATTCTCTGCATTTCATCTAATTGTTCCTCACACTTGTGTTCAAATTCGGCACATTTTGCTTTTTCTTCCGGAACTTGTTTAATCAGTTCTTCGTTAACACGTGTTGTTAACCAGCACCTAATGAACTTAATCGATTCGACCAAACCAATAAAACGATTCATATTTGTATCTTTTTGATGCTCATCGAGTTTTTCTCTCCACCGATTAATCCTTTTCCAGAGAAAACTGATTTTCTCTAGAACATCATTTTTCATTTGTTTAATATTATCACTCTGCATGATGGTAATCGAAACAAATTTCTGAAAATAAAAAAAAACATTACCTTGTCATTGAATCAAAAGAAAATCACGATAGAATATTATTGTGAACACGAAAACGTTATACCTAATTTTTACAAAACGAAAAAAAAATCAAAGAATACCTACTATAAAAGGTGTACTAAACTCGCGTCTGGTGTATATATATAGTAGCGTTGGAATACGGAAAAGGAGAAGCACAAATATATAAGAAGCAGAAATAAAATTGAGCGTTGATAGTTATCACCCAAACACAGAATAGCTGAAACGATACCAAGTATAAGAGATGTAGTGAAATCCTATGTATTTATGAAGAGTTGTATGAAAGAAAAATGAAGAAAAGAAAAAAAAATACAAATATCGGCGACGTAGATATCAATGTGTGCAATGATGAGCGAAAGAGAAAAAAACCATAGGGAGAGAAAGGGAACGCTACCGTATATAAGAGAAATACTTCATTCCTATGTATTTATGAATGACGTTGTATTAGAACATAAAATCGAAGAAAAGAAAAAAGAAAAATATAAATGAAGGCAATTTAGTTATCCATGTCTGCGATGATGAGCGAAAGAGAAAAAAACCATAGGGAGAGAAAAGGAACACTACCGTGTGTAAGAGATGTACTGAAATCCTATGTATTTATGAATAGCGTTGTGTTAAATAACATTGAAGAAAAATATAAACAAAGTCGATGTTAGTTATCAATGTCTGCAATGATGAGCGGCAGATGAAATATATGGGACAACACCTAGTATAAGCGATGTATCGAAATCTCATCTATTTTATTCTCTATATAGTAGCATTAAAAGACGTAGAAAAAAAAGAAAAGAAAATAAAGCAGACGAACAATTTCCTACGCGAAATACGACATGAGCGTAAATGAAAAAAATGGAACAATTCTTCATGTAGGCGATGTACAAAAAATTTCATCTATTCTCTTCTCTATATAGTAGCGTTAAAAGAGGTAGAAAGAAGACAAAAAACAGAGGAACACCGAATAGAACACCCACGCATAAAATACGACATGCGCAAAAAATGAAATATATGAAACAATATTTAGTATAAGAGATGTACAAAAAATCTCATCTATTTTATTCTCTATATATTAGCATTAGAAGACGTAAAAAAGAAAACAAAACAAAACAAAAAGTAGAGGAACGTAGTTAGAACGTCTACGTCGTCATCGAAAAATGAAAAAATGGAATAACACCTAGTGTAGGCGATGTACAAAAATAAAAATCTCATCTATTTTATTCTCTATCTAGTAGCATTAAAAGACGTAAAAAGAAAATTTGATAACTGTTCGTTCGAGTATACGATTGTTAGAATGCAGTCAGAAATTTTTTCAAGATAATTACATTCTCAAAATATACCTGTGACAAATATTTAAATCACAATGACTACAAATTCTTTTCATATCTTTCCCTTAAAGAACTATATTAACTATTTTAAATAATTTATCCTATGTTTATTCAAAAATTATCAATCAGATAAACACTGTCCAATATTTATATCAAAAACATCTTCTTGTCGTAATATTTATTTTATTACAAAAGATCTTTCATATATTTATACATATACAAATATTACTTTCAAAATCAAAAGGGTCTACTTGTTCATTTCAGACACACAAAGATGACCATAAGATGAACTAATTTATTATATAAAGATAGAAAACATACTTATCAACTTCTGAGCACATCGTAGTCTCTGAGTTAGGAAGTTAAAACTATAATTTAGATTATTTTTTATTTTGTATTTTGCTGGGATATCAAAGTTTAGATAATACAATGAGAATATTTAAAGAAAACAACGTAAATCCCCGAAAAAAAAGGAACAAAGTTCGAAAAATAATGCCACCAAATATTTATTAGACATTTGTCATATAAACAATAACGGATTCACGCATAATTTTCAGCATTTGATCTAATTCTTTGTCACACTTCTGTTCAAATTCCACACATTCTGCTTGTTCTTCTGGATCTAGATTAACCAATTCTTGATTAATACGTGTTTCTAACCAGCACCTTAAGAGCGTAATACGTTCAACCAAGCCAATTAAGACCTTCATATTTTCAACTCCTAGTTGCATATCCATTTCTGTTTTCCACTGATTCATTTTTT